ATTTTTTATTCCCAACGAAAATATTTTCAGGAGAATAACAGTAAAAACAAATAAATTTGAGCCTTTTAAATTTATTCTTAGCTGGCAATGTCTCCAGTTAAGTAAATGTTTATAGTTTAAAAACGAAAACTAAATGCGATTCTTTTAAACTAGTTCTTTCGAGATTTCAAAAAGCGTATGTTTTGATACAACTTTCCTCAGTTCACTTATTTTTGTTGACTTGTTATTTAGTTACTTACCGCGTTATTAAAATAATTTTTGTCTCTCTGATTTTTCTTATAATTAGGTTATTTATCATCCATTTTATCCATTCAAATTTTCCTTATCTGTCGATTTGTTTATGGTCTCTTCATTAATTTATTCACTTTTTCCAAGGCTTTTCCCTTTGTTTCGCGAGTATAAAGACAAAGTTCCCCCGAGGACCCACGGAGGTTCCAAGGAAACCAACGCTCTCTGACCCCAAAATCATGTACGCTTTAGAATGTCTGCTCTCTCGAGGCTTTAAAGTTCGTGATCGTGTTTCTCGAAAGTTTTACGACTTGTTACGAAACGCCACAGATAGGTACGGCTCGCTCCAAGAAAAAAACCTCGTATCTCCGGAGAAAGTTTGCAAAGCTCTGTACAGATTGGTCAGCACTGTGGAGACGGATCGATTCTGCCCTCTGGAGCATTACCTAGAGAGATTGCTCTACGGAGACATGTCACATCTGACGGCATTTGAATTTGAGATTCCGAGGCATTACGTATACGTACCTCGACTTATCATTACCCCCACTCAAGATTACCTCCTGCCAGCAGAATTGGTTGCAGAGAACCGTGTCATCAGGGACTATGGGCACGAGCAAGCGATGCGAATTGCATTCCGGGAAGAAGACTTTTCTAAACTTTCATCAACGCACCCAGAAGGTCTTAAACACGTCTTAAATGAGCGCGTGGTAGAACTACTCTCTAATGCCATCCACATTGCAGGGAGAAGGTTCGAGTTCTTGGCTTGTTCCAATAGTCAGTTACGTGATCATGGTGCATGGCTGTACGACATAGAAGGACAGCACAGAGCGGCTGACATAAGAGGATCGCTTGGGCAGCTGAATGAGATGAGATGTGTTGCCACCTATGTGTCCCGCATGGGTCAGTGCTTCTCGTCCACAAAGGAGGCGGTGACAGTCAGCATTGAAGAGGGTTGTAGTGTGGAAGAAATTCCAGATATAGAAGTAGAATACAAAGATGTGTATTTTGAATGTTGTGGCAACTTTAGATCTGGAAAATACACCTTCAGCGATGGAGTTGGGAAAATCAGTAAGGCCTTGGCCGAGAAAGTATGTAACTACAATACATCAATAAAAATTTATTCTGGCTTTTTTAGATACCTGAAATTTACGAATCAAGTCATAGTTTTTCAGTGTTATGAAACAATTTATGCTAATATCCTATTTTCAATTTCAGGTAGCAGACAGCCTCGGTTTGGATCCTACGCCCTCAGCTTTTCAGATTCGCTACGGTGGTTGTAAAGGAATGCTGGCAATAGATCCCAGGCTTCCAAACGGAGATAACCAGGAAATCCTGCAGTATCGTAAGAGTATGCAGAAGTTTAACTCAAAGCATTCTGCTCTGGAGATCTGTGAGGCAACGAGGCCGAGTAAGTTACCCTTGCGACTGTTACTCCTTGGAATGTCTTTGAATGTTGCATTTCGATCATTAAACTCAAATATGGGGTGTACATAAATTAAAATTGTAAAAAATGGTAATAAATGCAGACACACAAGGATATGAGTAATGAGGTCTCAACGTTGCAATCAAAACGATGAATATATGTCTGCAGATTTCGAATGCAACGAGACATGACCCGGTATTTGAATAATTTTTTGCTTTGTTGCAACTAACAACGAGTACTTCTTGCCGAACTTTTGGTGTTTTTCGCAGATATTGAGAATCATTCCCCAGTTTAGTCGTATTGCATAGCCATTATTGCCTTTCCATTATTTCAAATTTTAGATCTTTTGTACCTTAACCGACAATGTATCATCCTGTTGAATGGCCTCGGAGTTCCTGACGAGTCATTTATCAGTCTTCAAGACAGAATGCTTCGTAGCCTGGCCTTAATGTTACTGTTTGAAACGGTGGCACTGGAAACTCTTCAGCGGACCAACATTCCAGGTGGTTTGAAAATTACAGCCTTATCACGCAGTGGTTTGAACGTTACCCGAGAACCGTTCTTCCGCTCTCTGTTGCTGGCCATATATAAGAGTCGGCTGGGGGATTTATTACGAAGGGCCCGGATTGCTATCCCAGAAACCCATGGCCGTCTTTTGATGGGTGTCATAGACGAGACTGGTTCTTTGGAATATGGTCAGGTTTTTGTTCGATACTCAAAGCTGGTCAGTCAACCAGGAAAGCAGCTGAAGATATTGAGAGGCAATGTGGTAATAAGCAAGAATCCTTGTTTTCACCCAGGTCAGTGTAATGTACCGAAGTAATTTGTTCTTAAAAGAAATTTTGTTTCCGTTTCAAGTGTTCAATTTGTTACAATTCTCGTTGAGTCGAACCTGTTTCAAGCGGCACCGAATTAAGTGGTCACCCTGTATTCAGCGGTCACCCTGTATTATTCTCCTTAATTACTGTAATTTTCACCTCTATTAGGCGATCGTGGTCACCCCTTACTGAGTCCCAACCGCCGGTTTGTTTTAAGGCTGATAGTTTCGAAAGAAACTGTTTGGGGCTGCGTCGGTGGGGGTAACGAAATAATTTGGATATATCAACAAAGTTGAAATGGTAAATTGGCCACCGTAACGATTACAAAAGCTGACGTTTCGAGCGTTAGCCCTTCGTCGGAGCGAATAGAGGAATTGTGGGTTGTGTGTGCTTTTAAAGGCAGAAAATGGAGCTACGTTATTGGTGGGAACATGGCAACGAGAAAAACA